TGCAAGACATCCACTGCTCCAGCCACTCTGGGAGCCACTGTCACCATACCCACAACCACAGGAAGCTAACCTGGCTTCAGCGTCCTCGTGTACAAATGCAGAAACTGATGTTCGGGGTGGGGGAGGTTTGCTCAGGGTATGAAGAAAGCTAGTCACTCAGGTTTCCCCCACATAGAGAGTGACCCCCAAGAGACCCCCGCTGTCTGTGCTTTCTGAAAACCCCTGTGTGTATTTACTCTGATGGTCACCCAGCTCCACTGTCTTTGCATTGCAGTTGCTTGCCATCCCCGAGTTCCCCCTCTTCCCCACCTCTGGACCCTAAGTGCAGAATTTGGGGTGTGCGTCTGAATTGTTTGCACTGTGTGCCCAGTGCCTTGGATAGAGTCTGGCACGTAGTAGCTGCTCAGTAAATATTTGTTCTGTGAATTAGTTCGTAGCCAAGACAGGATTGGAACTTGTATTCCTGAATCTCGGGCTAGTGGGCTTTCCTGCACTTGCTGTCCCCACACACAGCTCAGGGACCTCTGAAAGTTTGAACTCTGGCCTGGGGGTTGGAAATAGCACCAAATGGTGGGAAGGGGTAGGGGAGGAACTGCTGATGGAGCCTCTGCTTTAATTGCCTCAAGGCAGTTGACCATTTGTTGGAGTCAGATAAGCTGCTAAAGTTGGAGGTGTGTGTGTGTGTGTGTGTGTGTGTGTGTGTGTGTACCTGGGGTGGGGTGGTGCAGACACAGGGGAGAGGGGATTTCAGAGTGGGCTGGGTAGCTAAGTTTCATCTAGCCTGCTTCCATGGTCTCCCCTCTCCCTCAGATAAAACCATCAGCTGTTAGGGACCCAGCTGTGGCTGACTCCGGGGAAGGAGAGAGAAAGACCCCATTGCTCTGAGTGCGTTCCCAGGCTGGAGTTCAAAGCAGACCTGTGAAGTGAGGGGCTGGAGCAGAGAGAGCTGGGCAGGGGAGGTGAGAAGTCAGCCAGGACAGAGGCTCTGCTCCCACTTTGATGTTTCCAGCCCAGGGCTTCCGGCAAGTCTGGGTGGGGTCCCAGCAGAAGGTTTCAGCTTTACCCCTCATCCCAAATTCTTGGAGAGATCCAATTAACCCCCTTCCTGTCTTCCAAGTACGATGTTTATCCAGATTCCTGATCCCATCACGCACAAGCTCTTCCATACTCGTGAATGGTGTGCCCAGTGCACACTCATGCCTCGTGCAGATACAAGCAAGCACGCTCTTCTATGCACACGAATGCATACACCGGACGCACCCTCACCTCTCCATGCAGCGCAAGCCCGGTCTGTTCATAAACCCCTGCAGACTTCAAATCCAAGAGGCCTTTCCGCACACACAGAACTTGCATTCAGAGTGCACGCAGCCACACACATCACAGGCACAGGGCCACTCCAATCTCGGCTTTCTAGGTCAGGGACAAGCCTGGCTGTGGGGTGGGTGAGGGCTATTGAACCACTGACTCCAGAGGTCTCCCTATAGTCTGGACTCTCCTTAGAGGACACTGCAGCAGGTCTGGAGTACTTCACTGCCAGGGGCTGCTCATCTCAGGCTCTTCACAATACCCTGAAGAAATCACTCAGGAGAGCAAGAAGTCCCCCGGGAAACATGCTTGGACCTCTCCAGGGCAGCCCTGCCCCAGGGACTTTGGCCAATAGTTCTGCCTTAGCTGCTGGTTTCCCAGACGGCTCGGAGTAGATTACTCTGGATCAATTTAGCAAGAAGTTTCTCTTACTAATGCAGTAGAATGACCCCGGAGTGAAGATGCCCATGTCACTGTAATTTAAGAGACATTTACCAGGGGCCTACTTGAGGGGCACAGAAATGAAGAGCAGGTCTCAGGCCCAGGTCTAGGGTACATCTAGCACATGGTGACTTCTGAGCCTTGGGGCATGCAAGGTCAGCCTTCAGCTACTGGAACCCATCTTTTGTCCTCTGTGCTGAGTGGTGCACTGTGGGGCAGGGACAGAGCAGAGCCAGGCTGGACCAGGAGTGAGGCTGGCTGACTTCTGTTCAAGCTGCCACTGCAGGGGACACTCAGGCCATCTGGCTCCAGCTGGCTCTAGGTTGGAGGCTGGTTCTTATCAGCACTCCACCTCCTCTGGTCCCAATCAATCAGTGGTCTCCTCCCAGCCCTGGTCCCCATTCCCTCCTCTTTCAATTAGCCTGGTCCTTCTGGTAAGATTAACTCTTCTTTACCCCCCTCTGGGGGGTAAAAGCCTGGAGGCCAGAGGATCAAATACCTGCATCCATATTCTTTCCTAGGGGGTCTCCAGGCTCCTGGTTTGGGATCCAAGTGGATCGGCAGGGGGAGGGATGGGGACCAACTTCAGGGATACTTCAAGCTCACTTTCTCCCTGCCCTCTGTTGTCTAAGCTGCAATGGTCATGGGCACACGTGTCTTTCTGAGAGAACGAGGGAAGATCTGGGATGTTAGGGGTCTCAGCCTCAGTCTTTACCCTGGAATGTCCAGAGCAGCATTAAAAACAAACAAACAAACCAAAAACCAAATGACTTGGTCTGAGCCAAACTGACCCCTGCTTAACTCTTGGGTTCCTCCCAGTACATAAAGGAGCCTACCATGGAAGAAGTCTGACGTGGCTGCAGGTTTGACCCCTTGTGCCCAACCATGCCGTCAGATCATAGTAAAATCCCTCCTGCCACTCTCCTTGGAACTGCAGAAGCAAGAAGGCCCAAGAAATTCCTGCCCTGTGTAGGATGAGGCCGATGAAGCTCAGGCTCTGGGTCCTACTGTGTGTCCTGACTCCTGTTTTGTAGACACTGCCAAGATTCCAGGGTGCTGCTGTCTTTCTAGTGGCACAGGAATTCTCTTTGGCTGGACCCTGTGGTTTCTGGATCAAGTCTGTGGCACTAACCTTAACTGTACCAACTGTTGCCTGGCAGGATTCTTACACCCTGTCTAATCACAGGTGGGAAGTGTTTATAAACACTGGGTTTTAATCTCACCCCAAAGAGCTTATTTTAAAGTAAATGACAGGTGTCCTAGCATTGTCCTTCATTTCTATAATGCCTAACAGGTGACAAACCCAACTTTAAAAGGGTTGGAGGTTTTTCTTTGGGAGCATAGTGGATTAGTCTATGGGCTCCAGACAGCTGTGGTTCCAGTTCTGGCTCTGATAATGACCTTGACCAAGTCACTTCACCTCCCTGTGTCTCAGTCTCCTCATCTGGTAAACTGAGGTCAATGGGAGTCTCTACCTCCTACGGTGGCTGTGATGATTAAAAGAGAAGGGACACAGGTATGCAATGCTTGGAAGATTGCCTGTCCACAGCATGTGAGAGCCGCCATCTTCCTAAGAATCCCAGGCTCCCCATCCCACAGGGCCTCTGGGTTACCAGATGGCCCTCAGGGTCTTCCTCACCTTCTCCTCCACCTTTTCCTCTGCATTTCTCCATTCACCCTGTGGTGTGTTTCCATTTCTCTTTCTTTGCATTTTATGTTCCTTCCCCTACTGCCTGTCTTCCCTGTGGTTCTCCCACCTTCGATTTTGGCAAGCTCTTGTTCAGCGGCTACCACCTGGGGTGTTTTACCCATCTTGTATGTTTTGAAAAAAACCGAGTTCATTTCCAAATCTAGAAGTTTCTCATAAAAATCCAGTATTAGATATTATTTTGGAAAAAATCCTAAGGCATGGTAATGCTGGCTCCACGTGGCAACCAGAGGCTGAGCTGAGGAGGTGGCCTTCTTTTTCTTTATTTTTGGGGACTGGGTCTTGTTGTGATGCTCAGGCTGGCCTGGAACTCCTGGGCTCAAGTGATCCTTCTGCTGTGGCCTCCTGCTGGCTGGGACCCCAGAGGCCCAGTCTCTACCACTCCTGATTGTTGCAAACTGGCTGTTTTACCCTTATCTCCTTTTGGTCTGGTCCTTGATTTGGAGGCCTGTGCTGTGGAAAGTTTTCTGACAAACTTTCCCTCCAGACAGTGGATTCAAGCTTTGTAAGTCCTTTGTCTTGGATGTGGCCAAGACTCATCTCTTGGTCAGTTTTACTTCTGCCCAGTATATACATCTATTTTCCCCAGTGCTAGGGATCAAACCCAGGGCCTCGCATGAGAGGCACATGCTCTACCATTGAGCTATGTCCCCAGTCCTCCTACCCAACTTTAGGTGGCCTCCCCAACTCTTGGAGGGTGGTGGAGCTTATACTGCACACCCTTCCTTTCTTCCTGCCCACAGATCCCAGAACAGCCATCAGATGCAGGAAAGGGAGTTTCTATGGGACTCTAACCACGACATACACTCAGTGGGGGCCGTTTTCTCTGCCTCCTCCTCTAGTTCAGCTTCCTGATCTTACACGGTCTCATAGGAAACTCCCCGTCTGTGCAAGGCAGTAAGAACCTGAAGACTGAAAAGTGTCCACGTTCTCGCCTCAGAGGAATTCATACACCTATTCTTCTATACACGGCTCTTCTTTCCATCCACTCCCTCATTCCAGACCCTACATCTACTCTCTCACTCAACAACCACTGAGTGATACCTTACATAATGTTCTGTGTGTGCTTGGAGAGGAAGAATAGCAAACCAGCTATGACAGAATTTACTCTGTGAGCTTCAGCAAGACCTTTACCCGGCCCAGCCTTAGTTTCCCCCATAGATTTAGTCACTTTACTTGAGATCATTTTGTCCTGGATTTCTTTCATCCTGTCACTCTGTCCTTAATCTTCTAAAACTTACTATGCCATCTGCCAACTTAAAACTCCCATTCAGAGAGAGGGCTGAAGCCAGGAGCTGGAGGAAGATGAAGGAGAGGGAGGTAGAGAGACACAGTCCTAGTGTGAAGTGTGGTCTGGGTGGGGGGGCAGGAGTGCAGGAAGGGAGCGGAGGGACAGACCCACTGGCCAGGAGGGCCTGCCAGATGCTGGGACGGTCCTGTGAAATCTCACACCCTCCTGGCCCCCTGCCTTCCTTGGCTCCAGGTCAGACTGGATTTCAGTCTGCATAATTTGTCCCATTTAGATGACAACAGGCGGGTGTAGAGGACTGAGAAGGGGGTGCCCTAAAGGGCAGGCATGAGGTGGTGGCCAGAGCAGACTGGAGGGATGGAGTCTCCGGTGAAGGTGGGTGTCGCCCAGAGGGAGGGGGCGGGGCCAGGAGGCGCTGCAGCCCTGCAGAGCGCAGATAACAGTCCGCCCAGCACAGCAGGGGTCAATTCCGTCTACTTGCCCAGTGACACGAAGGGGAAAAAAAAAGTGGGCTGTAACTTAAAGATCTTAAGACTCACAAGTGAGGGGTTGGTCTGGGGGTGGGAGGAAGGAGTGACGGGTGAGGAGTGGAGACAGCAGCCCAGGAGGGTGCAAGGAAGTATCTTAGCTGAGGCTGGAGAGAGTGGGGGGAAGTCTGCAGGGACAGACATCCTCCAGGGTCCAGAATCCAGAGCAGCTCCTCCTGCCTGCCGGGAAGGACTCTGAGCACTGCTGCCCTTCTTGGCCACTGAGGCTCAAGCCAGAAGCCCAGGGTGTTTGCTGTTGGTGACAGAGCCACGAAGCTGGTAGCTCTGGGACTCCCTGCCCATCTTCTTCTCCACTCCCGGCATGGAGGAAGGTGGAGATTTCGACAGTTATTATGGGGCAGACAACCAGTCTGAGTGTGAGTACACGGACTGGAAGTCCTCGGGGGCGCTCATCCCCGCCATCTACATGCTGGTCTTCCTCCTGGGCACCACGGGCAACGGCCTGGTGCTCTGGACGGTGTTTCGGAGCAGCCGGGAGAAGAGGCGCTCAGCTGACATCTTCATCGCCAGCCTGGCCGTGGCCGACCTGACCTTCGTGGTGACCTTGCCACTGTGGGCCACCTACACGTACCGGGAGTATGACTGGCCCTTTGGGACCTTCTCCTGCAAGCTCAGCAGCTACCTCATCTTTGTCAACATGTATGCCAGCGTCTTCTGTCTCACCGGCCTCAGCTTCGACCGCTACCTGGCCATCGTGAGGCCAGTGGCCAATGCCCGGCTGAGGCTGCGCGTCAGCGGAGCGGTGGCCACGGCCGTCCTGTGGGTGCTGGCCGCCCTCCTGGCTGTGCCCGTCATGGTGTTCCGCTCCACCGGGAACTTGGAGAATAGCACCAAGGTGCAGTGCTACATGGACTACTCCATGGTGGCCACCTCGGGCTCCGAGTGGGCCTGGGAGGTGGGCCTGGGGGTGTCGTCCACCGCCGTGGGCTTCGTGGTGCCCTTCACCATCATGCTCACCTGCTACTTCTTCATCGCCCAGACCATTGCCGGCCACTTCCGCAAGGAGCGCATCGAGGGCCTGCGGAAGCGCCGCCGGCTGCTCAGCATCATCGTGGTGCTGGTGGTGACCTTCGCCCTGTGCTGGATGCCCTACCACCTGGTGAAGACGCTCTACATGCTGGGCAGCCTGCTGCACTGGCCCTGCGACTTCGACATCTTCCTCATGAACGTCTTCCCCTACTGCACCTGCATCAGCTACGTCAACAGCTGCCTCAATCCCTTCCTCTACGCCTTCTTCGACCCTCGTTTCCGCCAGGCCTGCACCTCCATGCTCTGCTGGGGCCGCAGCACATGTGGGGCCAGCTCCCACAGCAGCAGCGGGGAGAAGTCCGCCAGCTACTCTTCCGGGCACAGCCAGGGGCCCAGCCCCATTGTGGGGAAGGGTGGAGAGCAGACACAAGAGAAATCCATCCCCTACAGCCAAGAGACCCTTGTGGTTGACTAGGGCTGGAACCAGAGAGAAGCCTGGCTCCCCTGGCCTGTCCCAACCTCTGCTCTTGCTCTCTGCGAATCAGGTAGCACGGCTGCACCTTCTCTTTGCACCTGCCCTGGGCCCTGACTCCGTCTTGTCCTCCTCTGATTTCTTCATTCTTTCTTAGACCTTTGGGACTGAGCAGAAAGAGGCTGAGCTCTGCAGTCAGACCTGTGCTCTGCTACTTAGTACCTGTGAGATGGCCTCGCCCAAGGCTCACTTTCCCCTCTGTATCAATGGAGGAACATCATGCAGACCCTAAAACATTGATGTGTGAGAACGGATCCAAACTGTGCTTCCTTCCATCCTTTTCTGAGATCTTTGGCTTCTTTTCTCTCTCCTTCCTTTGAGTTTCCCTCTAACTCTGCAAGTTTTACTGTTAATCCTCATCTTCTAGCTGCAAGCTCTCTCCCCACATGGATCCCCCCTTCCCAGTCCTTCCTTCATCCTCATTTACTTCCGTCCTGCAGGGCTCCCAAGAGTTAAGGATCCTGAAGCTTGCAAAGACTGACCCTGCCCATGCCCTTACCCTGTTTTCTGAAAGCCAGCTAAGGAGTGGGCCGGAGCTGTGATGAGCTGTGTGTCAGCAAAGAATTAACGCTCCAGTCGCCGGGGCCAGGAGCTCCAGGATGTTTCCTAAAACTGGATCAGTTCTCTGTCATTTCAGGCACCAGGGCCACCGTGATCCATGCAGAGAGCTTCCCTTCTTGCAGAGTCTCTGTGATACCCACCACAGATCCCCTAGATCCTTTCCTTCTTCCTCTATTGTTGGTGAGAATTGGACAGCAATGGGCTGATGAAGCTACGGAGTTTTACTACTTGGTTTTAGCACGTGAATGGGGAGCTGAGAAAGGAGAACAGAGAAGAGGCGCTGGAGGGCCGTCTGTGTTGGTCTGTGTGCTGCTTGGCTTCCCCCTCCCCCAATCCCCATCCCTCCAACCTCCTCTGGAATTGTGAACCGAAGGTCTTTCTCCCACCTCCCGCTCCCACCCCGTCATCTCCCCGATGTTTTTCCTGGGTGCTTGTGCCAAGAGTCACTTGGTTGGGGTGAGGATGCTTGCTTTTTGTCTGTGTGAATATATACATGAATACACATATCTCTATATGGATGAACATAACATGGTGAATGTCATGGATGAATGAACTTGGATGGATCCCTGCTCCCTTCCCCTCTCCCCCGCCACCATGTCTCTGCTTGTCACACTGTACCCTTGAAGGAAGAAGAGACACGTGGAGGCAATTTAGAATAAAAATGAGTGCACCCCCCACTGGATTTGGGGGCTCCAACGGCTGGTCCGTACTTTAAAAAGTCTGTGTTTGACCTGGCTGTCTGCAGGGACATCCTTCCCAGGAGCATCTGGGGCCCAAGGCTCGGGAAGGAAGTCCTACTGAGCTGGGTTTCCATTCCTGCTGTAATTCTATGGTGGGAAGAAGAGGCTGGCCAGAGCTTCCCCTGGCCCCTCCCCACACCTCCCACCCCGTTTTGAGTTTATTTCTCTCAATTATCTTTCTTTTTCCCAGGGTCAGTGGTCCCCTTCCCAAGGAGGGGGTGAGAGGCACAGGGTGGGCTTTGTCTCCCCTCACCATCAGGACTGAATCTCCTGGCTTCTGAGACTGGGTTGGGGGTTGGGGACAGTGAGTAGAGCAGTCATGGAGGGGCTGGTGGCCTGGTGTCCATACTGCCCGAGGGACCTCAAGGACAAAATTAATCATGGGGCCTTTTCGAGCTGGAAATGGGGTGTGTGTATTCCGGGTTTTGTTCTTGAAGGACTCTGGAAATGAAGGACAAGATGTGGACAGAGATGGGAAGAGCCCAGCTTGGTGTAAATGGACATGTCGGCCATCCCTGGGATGGAGGTGGCTCTGGGAACAGAGGGGGAACAGAGGGGCACTGGCTCCTCTCAGCTTAGTCTCCCCATCTCAGACCAGAACGTCCCACAGAAGCCGAGCGCCACCCTCAAGGCACCCAGTCAAGACTGGAGGAGGCTCTCGAAGGCCAGAGGGTGCTCCCGAGACTCTCCTGAGTGAACCGCAGGGACTTCCTGCCGGGCACTCAGGCACGGTCTGGGGCAGTGGCAGAGGAGAGTGCCTTCTCCCCTTCTCCCCTTCCGCAGAATGCCTGTGCTCCTCGCTGACCTTGTTAGTCACTGTGTTCATCAATAAAACTGTTTTGTGTAACTGTCGTGTCCGGAGCCTCTTCTCACCCAGGTGTCTGGGGATGAGGGAGAGAAGCCAGTTGGTGGGGGTTTCAGCAGGAAGTGGAATGAGGCGAGGGGAGCAGAGGGAGCCTACGGCAGGGAGCCACATGGGAAACGGGAGAGGAGGGGGGGTGTGAGCAGATGGTGATCAGACACCAGTGAGGGGAAAGGATGAGGCGAGGAGAAGGAGATAAAGGAACAGGGGAGCTGCCAGGCGCTGTGCTCTGAAAGCCACAGAACACATGGACACACATTTGGGATCCAGAGCACAAGTCTGGGGAAAAGTAGCAGCATTTACTGTGTTCACCATCCCTAGAAGCCCCTCAGACGATTTCTGGGGAATGCCAGGCTGAGGGAGGCCTGCACCCTGATACATTCTTCCCAAATTAAAGTGGACACAAAAAAACCAAAGAGTCAGAGAAAACTGGGCTCTGGGTGGTCAAGTGTCAGGGGGAAGAAGAGGCTAAAATGATCCTGGGGGGGTGGGAAATGATCCATCCCAAGTAGCAGAGACCTCCCGGGGACCAGTCATGTATCAAGTGACACGAAAGCAATCACCACAGTAGAGCTGATGGTAATGATGAGCTCACATGCATGGAGTTTTACCTCTGGGCTAAGTGTCTTCCAAGCATTATCTCATTTAACCCTTGGAGCCATCCTCTGTGAGGGGCAGTTCAGTCTACTTCTGATGAACAAGGAAGCTGAGGCACAGAGATTCACTAGATCTCTTGATCAAGGTCACATAATTCGTACATGGAAGAGCCAGGCCTGGGGCCAGGTGAATCTGTCCAACTCCTAAGCCCATGCTCTGAACCGTGGTTCCGGCGCTTCTTCCAAAGTACAAATGAGGCAGCATCAGGTGGTTGGGAAGGAAGCGAGATCTCATCTGTAAGACCCCTGGTACCTGTGAAGATTGGGGCACTGAATAGGAACAGGAAAGGGATGGTAGAAAAGCATGAGGAGGGAGGGTGGGGGGGGGAGAGAGAGAGAGAGAGAGAGAGAGAGAGAGAGAGAGAG